AAATCGTGGGAATTCGTCAATCTTATGCGCATGTGCCGTGTTGTGTGCTAGAGAAAGCTTATGACCCGATGCCGGGTGCCACAGTCTGTGGGCATGTCTGCGAACATACGGGACGGACGGCTAGTTTCTATTGGCAATCCATTCACTGTATTCTGATAGCAGGTGCGGCGTCAGAGTAAACGGTGCTAAGCCGAAGCCGTTCAGCGGTGGCACTGGTCTCCGTCAAGGCTGCGTCCTGTCCCCTCTGCTGTTTGTGTTGCATATGGACAGAGCAGGAGCAGCCAAGGCGATAAGTGTATCGATGTAGCTGATGCGAAGACTAGAAGGCTGCTGTTTGCAAACGACCTTGTTTTACTGGCAAATGGTGCTCACTGGAAAGGTTCACAGAGGAGTGCGAAATGGCCGGCAAGCGAGTGAATGCATCTAAAAGGAAAAGCCTAGTGCTTTCTCGTTTTCTTGCCCGTTGCTCTCTTGAGACTAACGGAAAGGCGGTGGAGCAAATGGAGAAGTTCAAGTACCTCGGAGTCGAGTCAGTATTCGTTCTGAGTCTTGGAGCATAAACGAAAACTTCGATCCCGGGAACTAGCCGCTGAAGTGGACTTTCTTAGACGAGTCGGTGGCCTTACGTTTCTGGACATGGTCCGGAATACAGATATCCGCTTATACATCTGTACATCGCGAGCTTTGGTGTACAGTCGCTGCTTCTTCAGGCTGAGAAGTCACAGCCACGAAGGTCTGGGCATGTGTTGCGAATGCCTCCAGAAAAAAAGGCGAAGCAACTGTTTCTTGCCCAAGCGACCGGCAAAAGACCAAGGTGACGGCCAAGATTAACCTGGAGCAAATATATGGAAAGAGTCTGATCCAGACTCCAGTTGTCTTCTGCGGAAGCTCTGACTCTGGATCAGGATTAGGAATATTGGAAGCATACTCTAACGAGTCTGCCTCCGTGAACTGAAAGGAGAAGCGGTCAAGGAAGATGATGATGATGAACTTCCGGACGAAAAGAAAGTGGCCTGACCTCGCTGCTGTATCGAATAAGAAAGCAGTCAGGTGGCAGAGCGCGCTCCCGTGCTACTCAGCAGGACAGTATAATCTGCATACTCAAGTTCAGCAAGATATCTGTTTGGACATTTTGAAGTCTGCCTTTCCGCTAGAATGAGACGCTTGTATTTGCCAGCTGCCTGGGTCAACACTGCATGAGAGGAGAAAGTCAAGAATAGTGCTAAATTGCAATGATGATAGTAAACATCCCCAACGAACTGCACTGTTCCTACGGATACATTCAGATAGCTCTCATTTAGCTCTGACAGCAGGCACGGTTTCTTTCTCCATACATATCTTCCAAAAATGGAAACTATGTGCTCAAGCAGCTCAAAGTATATAAGAATTTCAACTGCATTGGACGATATATTAAATCAAACGCAACCTTACTGTCCAGGAAACTGGCAGTTGCTCAGAGATTCCATGAAAAGCGAAGATTTTGTCAGGTTGAATGGCATGTAAACACATTACCACTGACTTTGACACTCTATAAAAAACAGCTGAGGAATTACAGGGCCGTGTAAAGAATATCATTCGCGTGCATGCTGAATAGCCCCGTGAGAAACGATATCAGACGTTCAAAATTAGCCACCTCTTGCAAAACCCTGCCTGAACGTACTAAGGTGTTGAGTTTGAAAATCGTATATTAATGGCAAAACTAGTACCGATGAGCAGAAGGAAAGTATATAGATATTACGAAATGGTAACAACGCTTGATTGTAAGCGGTTTAAACATGAAGTTAACACACAGATTTCAGAGAATCGCATTTGCCGAATCTACAGAGA